AAATGAACTTTATTAATTTTGTTCCATCACTGCACCAGCCTAACTATCATCAAACTCTTACTTAATTAGCATGGATAGAGTTTTTAGGGTTGAGTTCGGTTCAGATTTCAATTCCATGCAAAATCAAAGTCTATATTGAGCATCGACTATATGCAGATTGAAGCCGACTGAAAACCTAATGGAAATGGAAACAAAAATGTGGTCTTTTTCCTCTTGCCTTTGAGTGTTTTCTTGAGGAAAAATCTTGGAGTTGTTAGTGCGTTAAGGCTTATTTAATTTCGGATATAGCCTCATTGGTAAGCATTGGTTCTTATATCAATGTCCATTTATATTAATTTAAAACTTTTATTGAACTTGACGTATCAAAAATAATTAAAGAAATTTGATAAAAAATATTTAATTTTAAGATTATTTAATCAAATTAATTAAACTACAAAACTTATCTGAGATCTAACGTAATATTAGCTATGAATTAATTTCAAGAAAAAAACTTAGTTTTGATTGAATCGATATCTTTTCATACAAATATCTATGGAAAAACTTTATTGGATTTTATTTTTCCACTAGAAAATTACGTGTAAACAAAATATGCAATGTAAAAATTTGACCCTTTTATACCATGGATAAAGAGATATTCATTCGAATTAAATTAAGATTAGTAGATTTCCTCTTATTTGTTTGTCGTTCTTTTTTTCACGTAAAATCCTCCCTCTGTTATTTAATTCGGCCACCAAACATGGTGCTAATGAGTAGAGCTGAACAGAGGCAAACAAGGCAGAATCAAGGGCCACAAATTGCTCTACCCGATAAAGAATATGGGCACAGTGTTTGGTTGCTTTCGTGGTTGGATTCAAGCCAGATTCAGTAAACAATTCGCCAATACGATTCACTTTCCATTTCTGAATATGACGACGAAGGTCTTTTACGTCATTGTGATGGACCAATGCCAAAGATCATAATAAAAAATGGAACCCTAAAACTCAATTGAAGCCACCTAATGGCCCGCCACAAAATATAAATTTCAATTAATTAGTCAATTAATATATGATAAACATCTAGCAATCACAAATAAATCTTATTTCATATAGCTAAATCCTCATCATCATTGCAATCTATTATCCATAAACGTGGTCTAAATATCATATATATATATATATATATATATATATATATATGTGGCCAAAAGTTGAAAGCATTACGAGAGAATTTAATTATCTTTTATTAATTTTTAAAGATATTATTATAAATTATAGTTTAATAGTATTCGAGACTCTCGTACTTTTGAAAGAAAAATAATATATATTTTTAATTTATTTTATATTTTATATAACTTTTAATTGAAAAAATAATAATTTAATTCTTTTTTTCAATAATCTAGAGTAATTATAAGGTAATATTTATTCATAGTCCTTCTTTAACAGTGACAATGTACATACATCTTACAAATACAATTACTTGAACTCAAAATCTTTATAAAAAAATAAAATTCTCATTAATCACTGAAATGACTACATGATGAGTTGATAAATTTATTCTTTGGCCAATTAAAATCAGATTTTCAAACGAAAAGAATTTAAGGGTGATGCATGTAGATTAGAGTGGTGAGTAAGCGGCCCAAAAGAAAACTGATTGGGGTGGGTTTAAGAAACACTAATCGAAGTGGAAGTCAATATTCCACCTTTGAATCATGCTATTTAAGGGTCATATACATTTTCCACCTCAAAATTGGCCCAATTTATATTAAGATCTTGTGCTATTGATGTTAAACAAAAACAAACCCATACTCTATATAGCTTAAGGAAACGATACCAGTATATGAAATCTAATTTTCACGGAGCTGTTGCTTTCGTGTGAGAAGAGGCGTCCAAGGATCGAAGGGGTGGATAAAAATAGTCGTCCCTTAAAATATTTAAATTAGTATATATTTTAGATATTTTCTTTGTATTTTCAATTAATACTTTATTTATGTCTTCTTCGAATTCTATAATTATTTATAAATTGATGAATAATTTATTTATAGAGACAGCCGTATTTGAGAAGATGCATTAAATCCTTCAAGTGAAGTTAAAGATTCAAATTTCAACGATATGAATGAGATACTTTATTCAAATTAATCAATGTATAAATTAGATATTTATAACTAAACAATAAAATATCTAAAATCTAATTTTGCTTATAAAAAAATCTAGCTTCATTTTCTTACCATGCTAAAATATCCACCATTCTATAAAAGGATTGAAAGATATTGTGTATTTACGATTTTTTAGATATTACATTAATAATTATATCAACCACACTACTTTTTAGTCAATAGCGTTAAACATTTTGTATCTTTCAAAATTCATGATAGAAGAAAATTGAACCTTTACTGACCATGCTATTTTGTAGGCTATAATAATTATGAGAGAAAATAACTTCAGTGACTGAAAATGCCTTATAATATACGATTTTAATCAATTTTTTTTGGATTTGCAAAATTAACCAACAAATTCGCAACTCAGTTTTCAAATTGGCGAATTCGGATTTTTGACCGGATTTTTTCTATCTTGTTTACCTATATCGGTAATTGAGTTGCGAAATTGGATTTGCGAAATTCGAGTTGTGAAAACGAAATTCACGTTGTGAATCACTCAGCTAAACCTACGCCTGTAAATGAATTGAACAAACACGAACGAGGGTATGTTCGTGTTAGTTCGTTCGTTTAACTTTAACCAAACAAACGAACTGTCGAAATGATTTTTTCATTAAGAGGCGAAATTTTACACTTCGCAACACGAATTTGTCAAATTCGCAACTCAATTTTCAAATTGGTGAATTCGGATTTTTTCTACCGTGTTTACCAATATCGGTAATTGAAGCGAAATTCGCGTTGCTGCAAGAACGAAATTTGCGTTGCGAGAACGAAATTCGCGTTACGAAAACAAAATTCGCTTTGCGAAAATTTTCATGTTCGAGTTGTGAATTTGGAAACTATGTTGCGAAAAAAGAGTTCGCGTTGCGAATTTGTTGGTTATTTTTGCAAATCCAAAAAAAATTGTTAAAATCATAAATTATAAGGCATTTTCGATCACTGAAGTTATTTTCTCTAATTATGATACATGCATTAAGTTTCACGGGCGTTTTAATTTAATGGGCCAAAACATAGGTCAACGTATGATATTTTGGATACTTGAAAATATGGGTATTTGGTTTTAAACACCCCTAATACTAATTGAGTTAATTAAATTCAATTATTTATTTATGATATCTTAAAAAATATATTTATTATTATTTTTTATCTATCTATTTTAATAGTCTAAGTAAAAAAAATCTCATAAAATTATAATAGATCGAAAAGAAATGATAAAACATATCGTCAAATATTTATTACCATAATAAATTAAAATATCATAATTTTATTGAGACGGATAGAATATCATTTGATAGCGCATAAATTAATATATGTGGAGAAAATAAAAAAGTATGATAATTTTCATGAAAATGAGGTGTGCTACATTAATAAATTAAACTCGACCCAATGAAAAGAACACAAAAGATTCTCTTTAATATTTAGCGCAAATTACAGCTGGAAATATCTGTAGGATTTTGAGATTTCTAATTAAAATTGTCTTCTGTCGTGGGCAGAGTTATTCATTTGCTTATTTTTCTTTTAAATTATAATTAACATTTAATTTATGTTTTATTTTAATATATTGTTATTAAAATTTTAATAGTAATATTGATACATCATCATAAAATAATATTAAATTATCATTGATAAAAATTAAAAAAATTATCATGTCAGTAGTTCTATTAACCTTTTAATGACGGAGTATCAAATTAAGTATCAAAATAGAATTATGAAAAATTGAGTAGTTTTGAACAAAAATAAAATTTGAGTATCAAAACGGAATAAAAATAATAATTTAAATACTAAAAGTGTAATTTATGTTTTTATTATGTTAATGTGACGTAGATGCATGCGTACCCAGTAGTCAAGATGGATAGAACTCTTCGTATAAAGTAAAAAGCCAAAGGAATTTCCAATGTCAATATGAAAATGATTATAAAAACGTAATACTCATCATTTCACTCTGTTCAGACACGTGATTGTTGTACGCATGGTGGGCTAATTGCCATTCACTTTCTCTTTTTATAGGATTTGAGAACAAAAGAAAAAAAATTCCTCTCCCCTCCCTCCTCTTTTTCTAATTCATTTCATGGTTTTATAGTTTTAGGGTTTTGGCATTTGCTTGTAAAGATACGGTTCTTACTTTGTGTGCGGCTCCCCTTTTCCTCTTTTCTTTCCAATTGTTAGAAAAATCAAATTGGAGAAATTTCTATTTCTATATGAGATATAGTCTATCATTTCTTTGTATTTTAGTGCTTTTAATCAAAAGCATTCATCATTTTTTTTACAAAAAAATATTTTTATTAAGAAATAAAAATATTCACAAATTATAATGAAATGTTATAATTAAAACAGTAAATTAAACACGTAATTAAATGATATTTTATTATAAATATTATAATAAATTAAAAACTTAGATCGTATAAAAACCATACAATTTTTTTTTGAAAAATCTCATTCAAACAAACTCAAACAAAAATAAATATAATATATTTTAATTATTACGACAAACAAATGTATGTTGTATATTTAAATTAAATTAGAGTCTAAAAAAATAAAAATCAATAAGATAATAAATAATGTGTGTTCTTCAAATATTTTTAGTTGCAATTGAAATTATAAGTTGTAATTTTGTAACTAATTTATTTTTTGTTTTAAATGAAAGGAAATTACTGATGCGTCATATTATTAAACTTTGACCTTAATTAATCTGATTAATTTGCGGGAAATGACATTCTAATTTCACTTAGAAAAACAAATTGTACAAATATTTGAGGTAAGCTGTAAAAAAAGAAAACAGAGTCAACATTTCAGATATTGGCCATTTTTTAAACTCTTTTGGTTTCTACAATTCCAAAAGGTTAGCCCCAAAAAAAATCCAAAATAACTAACACAAATTTTCGAAATTCCTTTCCTGTCCTACCTATTGCTTATCTATTTTCTTTTCCTAATAGACTTATTGCCTAATTCCAAATCCACCCGTCTGAGTCGGGTACCGGAACCCGTACGGGTCCATTGAGTTAGAGAAATTGTAACTGTTCAACACATTGTAGCTCTGTTGAAAAATCCCCGAGTTAATCAACTCGCTGAGTCCACTATGTACTTCCTCTTCCACCGAGTTCCACACCTTATTCGTCTACATATCCATCTGCGGCATTGTGGGGACATACACGTTATTGTTCCCATAACTCGGAAACCCCTGACTCTGAGTTTGAGTCTGTCCACTGTGTATCAACTCGGGCACGGAGTTATGCCCACCGAGATTCGCCCAATCCAAACCCCCAATGCCCATGTTCTGAAACCCGGTTTTCTCATCATTTTGAAGCGTCTTCAATGAGTTCATCCGCGGCAAAGCGAAGAAACGGTCGTCCAACTCGGGAAATGACTCGAGCATGTCGTCGAGCTGGGAAGAACACGACGGCGACGACCCATTTGTGCTTTGCTCTTTGCTTGAAACACTAGAAAACGATTTTTGTCCACTCGAATTCTTCTTGTATATTCGACATAAAACCCAATCATCCAACTGCACAACAAATACACAAAAATAAATAAGAATGATCATTTTTCATAATTATTTTAATACTTCAAGCTAAACTATTTACCCTGGAGCTGCCATTTTTACGATAACTTTCAACGAGTCTATACTCATGCAAGATCCAATTTGTTTTAGTTCCTTTGGGAGCTTTACCAACGTAAAAGACCAGAGCTTTCTTTATACCAACTCTACGACCTTCACTTGTGATAATTTTATCAGTTCCGGTAGCTTTCCAGTACCCCGACCCGGCAACTCTGTTGGGTCGTGACCCGTTTGGGTATTTCCTGTCTCTGGGACTGAAAAAGTACCATTCTTTTTCACCAAACAAAGCTTTACCTGTTCAAAATAATTGAGAATTTAGTTAGCAAGCAAGAATCAAAAAGGAAAAAACAAAAGTTTTTTTTTCTGGATTTGATTAACTTACCTGGTAAAACCCATGGATCAAATTTGTACAAATCAATTTCCCCAATGATTTGCAGTGAAAAATGGTGGCCTGCAACCTTCCTGCATAAATATTGCACTAGAAGCTCTTCATCAGTTGGATAAAACCGAAACCCTGGGGGCAAGCTCAATTGAGCCAAGGGGTCTGTTTCCGGGACTCTCATGATTTTTCAAAATTTTCTCGACGACCAAACAAAGCCAATAGTTCTATCTTACAGAGATAATAGAACAGTAAATAAAAATGTTTATCCTTTCTTTTTTTTCAGGGTTAAGGGATAGGTAAGGTATTTAAATAGGATAGAGAGTATACAGTGTTGAAGGGGGATCAGTACGGTCGTCCTTGTCAAACTTTTGTGTAAGTGGGGCCCACTTTGTGTTTATCACCGTTGATATGGACACGTGCTGGACATCCTAAGGCGGACTTTATCTGATCAAAGATGGTACTTGAACCGTCACGAAAATATACAAAATTGTGTCATAAAATGTTTTAGGACACGTGTCTATTTACACACTTTCTTTCTAGAATCCTGGCGTTTGATCTGCAAGAATTCTTTTGATTTAGGGAGAATTGATAATTTTACCATTTTTTTATGGTTGGTTTAAATTTTTAAATGAGAATTGGAATTTAATTTTATTAAGCGAGGGAAAATAAATTTCATCTATAACAAGAGGGAAAGTAAATTTCATACATAACATGATGAAATTGAATTCCTTTAGAGGAGAGAATGTGAAATTTGATTATACTACCCTCATAAATATTTTGGTATTCGGGTCAGATTTTAAAAAAAAAAATCAGGATCGAGTCAGATTTTTTTTTAAAAAAATTAGGTTTAGGTCGCGTTTTTTTAAGTGTGATATTCGGGTCGGGTTGGGGTTTTTTTTTAAATGGGGTTCGGGTTGGGTTTTTTAAGTTTATCTTCGGGTCGGGTTTTTTAAGTGTAATATTCGGTTTGACGACCGACCCGAAAAAATATATAATTTTACCTTATGTATTTATAAATAATTACAATAATAAACGAAAATAATTTTTTTATAATATATTGCTACATGTAAGTTATAAAACAAACTAAAATTAAGCAAAAAAACAAGAAAGGCAATTTTGTCATTTTACATTACTAAAATCAAATTAATCTGATATGTCTGCGAACCAAACATAATATGGAATTAGATTCAAATTCAATTTCCTGTCAACCAAACAGGTTTTAGATTCGGATTCTAATTCGTTCACAGATTATAATTTCCTCATAAACATTTCAGCGAACCAAACTCCACCTAAATTCCAGTTTATAGGTTTCTTTAACCCCACATGAAAAAAAAAGTAATAAAAAATTGGGTGGTTTTTTGAGCTTTTCCCTTTTTTCTCATTCCGTTGTTTTACGTTGGTGAAATTATGGTTTCCGTCCTCCATAGTGCTCAAATTTATAATATAATTTTTATATTTTAATTTTATATGCTTTATTGTTATAAAATAATACATGTTTAATTTTTTAGTCATAAATAACGAATATGTCCTACATATATAGTTACTTGAACTGGATATCTTTAAGAGAGAGGGAGAATAATACACTTTCTTACTTTAAAGATCGTTTAATAAGATCATTGTAATTATAATTAATATATTCATATAATTATAATAAAATAATTATTATAATGCATAAACATGTGAGATAATTGTCGGGATATATCCAAATCCAAACTAGCCCTAAACAAAACTTACACATAATGATACTTAAATCAAAATAACTTTGAATATTTAAAGTCTCAAGTAAGATTTAAAACACTAAATTTCTTAAACAATGTTATGATTTTAGACTATGGCATTTATTAATGGAATAAATTGGATTGAGATGATCACCTCCCATAATAGACCTTTATAAAATCTAATTTTCATTACCAATAAAACAGATACTTGTGATTAATTCAGAATCTCAAGTCTTGACATGGCCAACGCAACTAAGACCTCATTGGCATGAACGAGCTATCTAGTTATATTGTAAAAATAAGGAATTAAATTACATGAAATTTAAAATATAGGGACTAGTTTTCAAATTGATTGTAGCTAAAAAAAAAAAGCAAACCTGAAATTTGACCTTTTGCTTGGAGAAATTTTAGCGTTTTCATGCTTTAAAAGAGAAAAGGGCACGTCGGCGAACACGCGTGTGCAGAGTTAGGCTAGAATTTTGTGGGAAAAAAGGGTAGAATGATGGAGGTAAAAAGGGGAAAGAGAAAACAGGTGGCTGGTTCTTATTAGTGACACGTCCCGATTGACTTATTTGCTCATTATCTTTGATTTAATGTTTGGGTTTTGTTTGGATTTTGGGGTTCCTTTCATTCATTAACTTCTTCCATGGACTAGCTTACAAGTTTTAATGGATTGGTTGGACCATTTATTAAAATTGTTGATTTAACACATTAAAATAATATTTATTGAATATTCTGATCTGGGTCAAACTTTTTTTTATTATAGTCAAAAAGAACATTTTTCTATTAATGAATTTCAATACTTTTAAAATTATAATTGAGATGGATTCCATTCGTGTTCTTGAAATATTCTATTTAAAACTTTTTGAATGGATGAAATTAATATCAAACTTGAAATTCAATATTAATTAAAAATTCATTTTAAGTTTTTCTATAAATAGTAAAGAAACATTTATTTATTGATTTCAGCTATAAGTTTATTAATGCAAATAAAAATTGACACAACTAAATTAAAATCATTAAATGAACATGAGATTGTTGATAAAGACACAAGTTATGAAGTCGAGTTGCCACGAATATGCAAAATTAACTTCTTTTGTCTCTTTCAAAATCTTTGTATTCGTGGAGGCTTCTTGTTTAAGTAATACATAAAGATATGAGTAAGAAAAGTGTTTGGTGGGTCAAAAGAGTATGTAAAGGAGACTTAGCTAACAATTCAAAAGGGTGACATGTAAGGGTGTAAGCGAGCCGAATCGAGCTCGAGTATTGTTGAGTTTGACTTTATTCAAAAACTTTGAAATGGAGCTTGACTCGACTCGAAAACTCGCGAGCTTAAAATTTTTAAGTTCGACTCGAATTTGAAATCCTGAACTGAAGCTCGTGAGCAACTCAAAAAGGCTCGAAATGAATTTTTTTTTCTTAAACTTGACTCGATTGAAGCCTCAAACTCGAACATGAACCTTAAATACATGAAAATCTTATTGTATTTAAAATAAACAATACATAAATATTAATATTATTAATAATTTATTTTAAAAAAATAAAATCTTAATCTATTATATTTTCGAGCTGCTCACGAGCTTTCGAGTCGAATATCAAGTAGCTCGTTTCGGCTCGTTAAGAACTCGAGTCGAGTCCATTCGATCCGAGTATTTATCGAGCTTTGATCGAGTCAATCTCGAATAGCTCGCAATCTATCTCGTCTCATTTACCGCCATAGTGACATGTGTTGTTAATTGGAGCATATTTTTATATCTCCTATATTATATAATATAAGAATCAAAACGGAAAGTTAGGTCCACGCTTTTTAGTTGGAATATTTTAAAATCACAAATATATTTTAAGTTAAAGATAATATCAAAATATTTTTAAACATAGTTTTCTTAATTCAGTGGAATTTTGAAAAAGTAAATTGAGACATAATCGATGGGTCAATTTTAGCATGAAGGAAATATATTGTTTTGTTATGAACTTGTAGATAAATTATTGGATTGATTTGTTTTTTTTTAATAAAGATTGTAGCAGTAGCAGCTGGCAATAGAGTTTGGAGGTTTTTGGACACCTACTTTTGAATTTTATTTATTTTTTTTAAATTGAATTCATTAGATAATTTTAAGGGTTATTGAAAATGTTATTATTCTTAAATATTATGAATTTGAGTAATTGTGCTTCCGAGTATATACGCATTCCTAATGGTTAAGAAATATTAATCTGAACAAATATTATCTTATAATTATCTCAAACTATTAATAAAACAAAAGTAGTTTAGTTATTGTATAAAAATTAATCTATATTTCTTTGTTAAGCAGAGAATATTATATTGTTGACCATACATAATCCATTCTTTAATTTGGAGAAGAAAAGTAAGAAATAAAAACCATCTTAGTTTTTTTTTGAGGGGGTCAAAAGGGTAATTTTATTCATTAACTCATTTAATCGGTATATAAAGTTTAATGAGTAAAAAAATATAAGCAGTTTTAGCAATATAATTTTCACAAAAATATATAAATATTAAAGTTCTTAAAGTTCCATCACATGTCGAATATGAACTTAAATTAATATTTTATTTACAATTTAGGGGTTATTATTATTTATACCATTGGTATTAGACTACACATAATTAAAATATCGATTTTAAAAAATATATTTTTTTAAGAAACGTTGATCTAATTTCACTGATTATTTTGCTTATTAAACAATTTTCAACAATTTAAATAATTTCCACCAATTTAAACAGGGTATGTATGAAACCAACAAGCAGAAATAGTTTGTCTAGCGGATTGAACGTTGAATTAATTGTCAATTTGAATTTGAATGAAGAAACAAAAATAAAAGTAGACTGCTTTTATTCATGTGAAAAATGCATCAATTAGGGTTTGAAAAAGTTATTCTCAATTTGAATGTTGAATCTACTCACTGTTCATAACCATGTCCACTGATTATGTAAAATTCAAATTCCTTAAAAAAGAGGGACTAAATTTCAAAACTTTAGAGAGCCTTTTATTAAAGCACTCCTTAAATCTAGATTTCATATTTTTAGCATATTGATGAAACATACAAGTCCGTGTTACATAATTAAGTTATTTTAAAAGCATATGATTAATATCTTCTTTTGAAAACATATTAAACTATGTAAAAAGTGCATTGAAAGCCATTATCTTAGACTTTAGTGTACTTGCAAAATATAAAATATATTTTAAAATACATATTTGAGAATTTCGGTGTATATATAATGTAACGTCACTTGTGGCAATTAATTTGGAACGTCAAAGCCATGTTCGTGTGCATGTGTATAATAGAAAGTCAACTTGTAGCCACTGGTTAATTTGTTTTAAAGATAATATAGATAAAAAAATTTAGATTTATGTATTGTTAATGTATTAAACAAAAGTGTTATAAACCAGCTGGTGGGGGAGTGTCAGTTTGCATTTATAGCGGGAAGATAAATTTTGGACTGCTCGCTCATCGCGAATTAGATTATTGACGATATTTCGCGACGAAAAAGGAAAGCGATCGTATTCAAAG